TTTGTAATATACCACGTCAACACCATATCCAGCATCCCCTTTCCCCCATGCTGCTAAACCAAATGCCTTCCCTCTCATGGCTTTCATTTTGGTTAATGACACTGCTCTACCTGACCGTTCTGTTTGGAATTAGAGTTATCTTCAGCTCTTCATCATTTCTATGTTCTGTTGATTGGGTTTTATTTATTTTCTTAAAAAAAATGTACAATTCATCCCTTTTTTCTGCTATTGGTGTTACTTCTTAATTAAGGTCTCATCATAATCTTGCAACTATTTCTTCCCTACCTTATTCTATTTTTCTTAATTTTAACAGTGTAATTTTTCAAGACATTCATGTTATAACCCTGTTGTTCTCCAAGTTCAAAATCTTCAGGGTGATATCCAAGACTGTTTGACAGTTTGCAGCTTGCTTTCTTCTTTCTTTTGATTCTCATATTTTTGGATCTTCCCAAAGCACATGTTCTCTCACTTGCTTACCATCCATTCACTCATTCCTCCGTTCACACACACATGCGCTGTCAGCTGCCTGGTGCTGGTAGGCACGTGAGGACAGAGAGTTAAGTGCAGCAGCCATGACTGTTACTCTTCAGAGGCTATGGAATGTTATATCTGTGGCCATGCTAGACCATCTGCCATTTTCCACTTAAAGAGTTATTAGTCCTTTCACCTATACTCAAGGGCTCTTCTGGCCACCCCGGTAGCTTATATTCCTGTCTCTACAACAGAGCTCACTGCTTTTCGTTATGCTTTCTTGTTTAGACTTGAATTTCCCACGAGGTTGAATTTCACAGAGTGGAAGGAGGAAGATAGGAGTAAGGTGGGGGCAAGGGAAAGATTGAGGAGGAGTTGAGAGACAGGAGAGACAGTGTGAGCACAGTAGAAAGCACAGCTTCTAGCAGCCTTGGGTTCTGGCTGGGCATGTGGCACATACACAGATGAGTTTATGGTGGGGATGGTCACTGGATCTTTGTGAAGTCTGAGTTAGTCACAGGGTAGACACTATATGGACTTGCTGCTGCCAGACCCTCCACTTCCCCTACCTCTCCTGTCCAATGTCCCGTCTGCAACACTGCTGACCCAGCTGTGAGAAGACTGTAATGTCATACTCTGTTCCACTTATGGTATGTGTGACTTGCATGAATAATGAAAAGCTGACAGATAAAGCACCAGTCACTCATCTGTTAGTGACCTCATTTTAAACAAACAAGCTCTGCTTAAAGATCGTGGGGGGAGAGCGCATGGTAGATCCTACGTAAGCAGTGGAGGGCAAGTAGGTCATGCTTCACAGGGGGTATTTGAGATTTTAGATCCATCTTCTCATACTTGTGATACTAGACTTGCAAAAACATGATTTTTGTCTAACTCCAGATGAGTGGTACTGTGTCGGGCAATGGGGATATAAAAGGACAGTGACGTTGCTGAAGTGGGAGTTCAATCTCCTGGGTGCTGTCATAAATTCTCTTGATACTACTAAATTCTGTTTAGTCTGACAGCTCATCATAACAAAAGTCTCATGCTGCTTAACTGATCTAAGTCCTGTCAGTTCATAAGATGTGGTCTTGGAAGCCATAGCTTCCAGAAAAGCACATTTGACCCGCCAGTGCTGGATCTTGGTGTTCCTAAGTGGAGATCCTGTCCTTTTCCAGTCATAGTCTATATGATGCTGGGTTCTTGCTGCCTCCATCATATGCGTAGAAAACAGGAGCTATGTGCAAGCTAAGGTGTATGGCAGACAGTTCAGTGGAATGTTCTGAGAGATGAGTGAGCATTCCAGGCATAAGGGACAGGACAAGCCAAACCAAAATTGTATGTGCATCATGAGGTAGCAGACTAGACCCATTTGATTGAAGTGTGTGCTGGGAGGAGAGGCTGGAATATAAATGCCAGATTAGGGAATCCAGTGTTTAATAAGAAAGGTCCAGCAAAGTCTTGAGAGATAATAATAGTATATGCTCTCATGATTTAATTATTTTTATAGATGAAAAGTATTTTTTAAATCAGTGCTAAAATTTTTATAACACTCTTCATGGTGGAGCGGGGAGGACTTTGGACTTTCCACAGGGCAGGGAACCCTGACTGTCCCTCAGACTGGAGAGGGAGGGGGAGAGGAGTGGGGGGAGGGGGAGAGGAGAAGGAGGAGGGGGAGGGAAAAGGGAGATGGGGAGGGAAATGGGAGGTGGGGAGGAGGTGGAAATTTTTTTTTCAATAAAAAATTATATTAAAAAAAACTAATAAAAAAATAAAGAAAGGAAAAAATCAAAAAAAAAGAAAAAAATTATTAACTACCTATGTTTTCTTCATGGATTTAAAATTTGTTAACTACCTATGTTTTAGACTGTTTTTCTTTTAAAATTCTTTCAATATATTTATTTAGAAACATTTTGAAAATTTTTGAGTGAATGCTGTTGAATATATTGAAAAAATATTTTTAAAATTTGTGGGTTTCCTTACAAAGTATTTTAAATTATGATTGTTTAAAAGTAATTGGAATTAGATGACACTCTATCTAGTGTATAGTAGGAATTTCCTTCTTGTTTGCAGCTTAGAGAAAACAGATGCTGACTGCTATGACTTTCTTTTCTCTAGTCTCTCCAGAGGCAGTTGGATTTTTGTCAGCGATTGGGGTGTTTATTGTCTTGATGCTGCTCCTTTTTCTCTATATTAATAAGAAGTTCTGTTTTGAAAATGTTGGAGGTTTTCCAGACCTTGACCCAGGATACAGCACACAGAAGAATTCACAGGATAAAATGTGTAAGTAATCACATCAGCACTTATCTGTGCTGTCCCTTGCTCTAACAGGTTCTCTGAGAGGGTTGGCTTGGTACATGATAAACGTAGCATTTGAACCTCCACTTTGTAAGGATGAAATATCTGTTAGGTAATTGTATGTTTAGGTCTCTTGCCTACAGATTGATAAGCTACTGTATAAAGGTAGCTGTCTGTTACTGCAAAATGATGTTTTTACTTTTCATTTAGAAGGTGTGATTTTGAGTTTATCCTATGAGTAGATAATGCTTTAAGAATAAAACCGTGGCCCACTGTGCACATGACCTTGAGGAGAGCTTTCCCAGTGTCGCCCGCCAGTAGGCTTTGTCTAACAGTCTTCAATCTCAGCCGAGGAAAGATGCTGTTGCTCGGAGGAGGACTGTGCTATAGTGTTGCTGGATTCCAGGGAGCTTGAGGACTGTAGTACTGTATGTTCTCATTTTAGAGACACTTTTACAAATACTATTACAAGAGCTTTTTATTTGTTGTTTCAAATATGACTAATGAAAATGATAGTGGAGGAAGTTGAGAACGATAAACCAGGGTGGTAACTGGAGAGTCTGAAGAATGAGAGTGGAGTGCACAAATGCTGGAGACCGCTTTTCTCCTGACACTGTGTGCCTCATATGGTTCTGAGTTGGTTTTGTGTTTCTCATATTCCACTCCAGCCCTGTAAGCCACTCATTTGTGTGAATGAACTGCTTAAAAATCTGTCTGTCTTCCTCCCTCCCTCTCTCTCTCTCTCTCTCTCTCTGTCTCTCTGCGTGTGTCTGTATGTTTCTCTGTCTCTGTGCGTGCGTGTCTGTCTGTCTCTCCCTCCTACTGTACTTCCCTCCCTCCTTTCTCTATGTCTTCCTCCCTCCCTCCCTCTCCACCAAGCCCCTATCTCTGGTTCAGCTTTCCTGGATTTTCTTTTGTCTTCAAATTCCAAAGAACTTTTATTGGTGTAAGTTACATCTATTTATATGTACTGTATTTGATAGTAAACTGAGAAAATTATCTTTTACCAGCTTACTTTTCTTTTTGTTTTGAGTTAAAAGGTTTTTGCTGGGGATTGAACCCAGGCCTTCACATATGTTATGCTTGTACTCTGTTGGTGAGGTACATTTTCAGCCTCTATGGATTATAAAAAAAAAAAAGTACTAGCAATAAGGTTATTATTTGTGAATATAAGTAACATTTTAAAGTTTTTTTAAAGAAATTTTTAACCCAAAAGGAAGATTTGTAGAGAAGAGTGAAATTGCTGTATACATGTCATACAGGCCATTAGGACTCAACTTGATTCTGGTGGCCGCCCCCTATCAGGTCTGTCTCTCACCTCTGGGAAGCCCCAGTTTGCATTTGCAAGCAAGGGAGAGTGAAAATGTTAAACGGCCCCTACTGTCACTGTACAAGTAGTGTGCTCAGGTCTCATCGATATCCTATTGTTTTTCTCTACTTGTTAAAGTAAAAAGAGCTTTCCCTTTTAAAGGTACCGAACATCAAATAAGGCTAAATGTGTCCATTACAGTTCTTGGAAGTCCCATTCAGAAGATGCTCTCACCTCTTCTCTCTGGTTCTTTGCAAAACTGTTTAGATATTTTCCTCTAAGTACAGTTCTTAACTTGAAATATTGATAGTCTGGGCTGGAGAGGTGGCTCAGCGGTTAAGAGCACTGATTACTCTTCCAGAGGTCCTGAGTTCAATTCCCAGCAACCACATGGTGGCTTACAACCATCTATAATAAGATTTGGTGTCCTCTTCTGGTGTGCAGACATACATGCAGGCAGAATACTGTATGCATAATAAGTAAATAAATCTTTAAAAAGTGATGAAATATTGATAGTCTTTTAATGGGGTTATTCCCATATTACACTGACTCTTCCTAAAGAAGGCACATAATAAAAATCCTTTTTATACTTCTTCTTTCAGGTGTAGACTAAATACCCAATAGTATTTGAGGGAAAAAATTATGTCTTGCTGCTGTTTTGATAGCTTTGGAGTGGGAAAAGATGTCATTACACTTAAACCAAGTGATTTGATTTTTATTTTTTCCGGAGGAGTCTTTACTTCAACGTATTTCTTCCAGTACACATTGTATTTACAAACAGATTCAAAGACACAGTGCAAAATAACTTATATCACTCTAATGATAGCAACATTCATGTAAATATTAAGTTTACATTCCAAAGTAGTTGATATATTGAGAAGAGAAAGTTCCATTATCACATCTTTTAGGAACAAGCAACTGGAAAATGGCATTTTTCAAAAGTTTTCAGCAGAATCTGCCTTCAGTGTCCTCCCTGGTAGACACAATCAGTAGTGCTGTGGAAGATTTGAGCACTGCGGTTGGGGAAGTCAGCTGTGCATTAAGTGACTCAGTCGCTGGGCAGGTAGCAAGTATGATGCATGGCTTTTACCCAGAGGAGGAAAGCTGCACAGCAGAAGAGGCTGCAGGGTCTTCTAAAGTCAGAAGTGCAGTATCGTGGGATAGCTCCAAAAGCAGTGCTGGTCAGAAAACACAGTCAGACAGAGAGCACGAAGCAAAGCAAAGCTCCTGTTGTGACATCTCAGCTCCTCAAAAGCAAGAACAAGAAATGCATGAACAGGGATTTTATGTTTGTGATGGGCAGTGGACACCTTCGGAACACAAAGCAACTGGAGATGGTTCAGGGGGTTTTGCTCTGCAAGGCTTCTTGAATGATGGGATATCAGCTGCCAAGCAGAAAATGGTGGCTGCACCCAGTTGTCATAAACTGGAACGTCCTGACAAAGGAGAGACAGCTGGAGGAGGAAGCTCCAGGAGTGGTCGGCGTGGTTTTGAGGAGGTAAGTTATCTCGAAGTGACAGGGAAGCTGGACACCAGTGGGCAAGAGGCTACGGATGACTCCAAAGCCAGACTGCAGCGTGGGGCCGTGAGCAGAGATCACGGGCAGTCGGGGAGCTTCGCTGAAAATAGACATCTTACGGATTCAGAGCGTTCTGATCATTTAAAAAAAGCTAAAAAACATGATAAACATGGCGGATTCGAAGGGAATGAATATTCGGGAAACAAATGTTCTCCAGAAGATAACGTGAGAAACAGCAGACACGGGACACAGAAATCCATTGTGAAGGAATACACACATTCAGCTCCATCAACAAATTGTAAAATCAAGTTTCCCACGAAAATCAAAGAAAAAATAAATCCAACAAAGTACTACAAAGTGAAAGGAGACATAAAAACAAAGAAAAATGAAGCCAATTCTGCTAAGAGAGGAACAGCAGAGAATAAAGTTGGCAAATATTCTAAGATATTACCAGAAAAAGGTGAGGTCTCCTAATGCTGGTTTGAGTGATTAAATTTTCTCTTGATTTTTTTAAACTAGAAAAACATTTAAATTTCTCAGCTTTCCTTTCCATGTCTGTATATCTAATTTAATTTTTTCTTTGATCTTCTTACTTGCAGATATTTTTAGAGACATTTAGATATTTTTCAGTCATTTTCAGGTAATTCATGTTATTTTATACCACCAGGTATATGATCCCTACACTATCTAAGCAATTTCCAGCAGTCCTGATGTTTCTTTTTCTTTTTTGTATTCTTGTGAGCAGAGTTTCACTGTGCAGCTCCAGTTGGCCTGAAACTCACTTTATAACCCAGGGTAGCCTTGAACCTGAGGTGCTCCTTCCTGAGCCCCCATTTACTGAGATTACAGCTGTGAACCACCCCACCCATTTCCTAATTTTAACTACAATTTATTTTAATACTAGAAAATTTATGCAGACTTTAATTAGATCTTATTTGGTACGAAATTCATATATTTAAATTTTTGTTTTACTTTTATAACTAAGTCTTTAGTTAGTTATATAACATTTTCAAAGCTACCCCAGTGAGGATATTATGTAAAATATTTTATATGTTTCTTGAAACCAATAGCTCCTATATTGTTAAATAGCATGCTTCTAGATATGTCTTTTTCATTTAGCTTTGCCGTATATCTTTCATGAGATGGCTCTAGTTCATAATGACTGTACATGAGCAATACATTATTATTCATGAGTTCTTTATATAGAATTAAGATTCTGAATGAGTATTTACAATGTTTAGCTATAATATTTGTGGCAGTTTTGAGAACATCTTTGCAGCGCACACCTTCTGATAATTGTTTCTAGTACTCCTTCGTCACCTCTGTACTTCTGATCTGATCGGAAGGCCCCAAATACTGGCTTTTGTTTATAGAATATGTTCCTGTAGTTTTTCTATAAATTTAGATTCTCATAAGATATCAAAGCCTGAAACATCATGAAACTAATGGAAGACTTTTCAATTCTGCTATGTGCCTCATTTGTAGGAAGGGTCTGTTGTATATCAAACAATAATACAAACAATAATAGGTTTTTAATGGCATAGGAGAAACTGACCCTAGACTGCTGGACTAGTTACCAAGAAATGTTTGTTAAGATGTGTTCATTGTAGAGAAACTGACCCTAGACTGCTGGACTAGTTACCAAGAAATGTTTGTGAAGTTGTGTTCTCTGTAGAGTCCATTTTCCTCGCAGCTGTGATTCACTGGGCGTTGGTGCCTTGTTTCGTTCTGGCAGCATCATTACTTATGAAGAAATAAAAGTAATGAATTGTTTAGAAAGTGACAATAGGATGGCTCCCACAAATAAATACAATTACAGTAGCACTGCAAATCTTTTTGTTTGTTTTGCTTTGTTTTTAATTGAGGAGCACTCTGGCATCTCAAGAAACCAAAGGCTCTCAAATATCCCAAAGATGAGTCCTGAACAAATAGTCCTATGGACAGATTGCAGGTGTTTTGGCCTGTAGGTTAGCCTTCATGTAGCTGCATTGCTGTGTTCCTGGAACAGTGTTGCAGGCTCTCACAGGGAGACTCAGGCATGAGAAGATTTCTCTGATGTTTCAAGTAGGGCATTCTGTGATAGAGGAAGTTTGACTGCAAAGGGGCTCACAGCATTCCTCTGCCTTTAGGTCTTACTCTGGTATTTCACAAGACATTCACACTCTGAGCTGGGTGTCAGAAGTGCTTGGTCTGGTTATTGTAGCACTGTTTAGTCAGATTCTTGATGATAGTGAAGTTGGAATGTCTTCATTGTTCTAGATTAACCACCAGCTATACACTGTAAGTGTGGCTGGTGGATTGGAAAAGCTTAGTGATTCTATTCAGACGTCATGAGAAATGAACTCTTAACTGTTCTGCTGTTTCTTAGGGAATATAAACATTATAACTCTTAAAATTTAGGTATGATTAAGTAAAATTTTCCTAGTAATTTAACTTTTCACTGGTAGTGTTATAAGTTTTGTGTATATCCATATATATATGTTTATAGATTGCAGGTTGAAGTATGTATAATGTCTATTAAATAAAAATATAATTGCACCTTCTATTCTTTCCTTGTGAACCATAAGCCTACTGACTCATGTTGAGGGCTGCGCAATCCTAGTATGTATGTTGGATGGTTGTGCTATTATTTGCCTAACCACGGCCCATTGATAGGCTGTTGGTTATATGTTTTGTTTTCTTTTGTTATCAGCATACTTCACAAACTTGTATCAGTTGTAATACTAGTGTCTGCCATTTCTCTGTTCCTTCTTGGCACGAAGCGTGACTAGTTCTGAAAATATAGGCCAAATGAAAACCAGAAATGTGTCGTATGACATTGATTGTTTTACTCTAGTCTATAAGCAATGACAGCACTCATAATTTCATTTGTATATAGCAGACCTTTTACAAAATTGTGCAACGTGACAACTATAATTTCCTTCATACCTAAAAATGTTACAAACCTCTGTGACTGAGATTATTTATATAATTAGAATATACAATGTGGTATTTCTTATAAACACATAAAAGTCTAACATCTGGAATTCTTACATGAAAAATATATTTTCTAAAACTGAAATTTTGTGTCATAACATACATACACATGAATGTTGCAATATACTTTAAATTCAGTTTAAGAGATTACCAAGAATTTCAGTAATTTTAAGGATTGTTCTACTTAGTTTCACCCTGTGTGTACTCACACAAACATACATATTTGCATTTGTGTTTGTTTTGTGTGTATATATGCATATATGTCTTAAATAAATTTGCCATAAATTTATTAAAATTATAATTTCCTCTCACTGTTATCCAATAGATAATTCCTACATGGACAGAGATGACCCTGGTTCATCCTCTGAAAGTGAAGATGAAGCATTGGGTAAATATCACGAGGCCTTATCCAGAACACACACTTCCAGGTGGCCATTGGTGGATTCTAGACAAAAGAACTACGCCTGGGAAACAAGGCAGAAATACAGCCCGTTGTCTGCGGAGTATGACGGGTACAGCAGTGAAGCGTCCATGGAGGATGGTAAGAAAGCCATGAAAACATGGGGCACAGTTGTGTTACATGCTGTGTGCCTAAAACTCTAGGCGTCTGTGGTTGCACACTGAGAGATATAGTCTAGGGTTCTCTTTCTTTTTTTTTTTTAAATGTACAATGACCTACCTTATTTTTTTCACATACCAATCCCAGTTCCTTCTCCCTCCCCTCCTTCCATTCCCTCTACCTATTCCTTCCCCTCTCATCCACTCCTCAGAGAAGGTAAGGCACATTGCTTTGGGGAAGTTCCAAGGCCCACCCTACTATTAACTAGACTGAGCAGGGTATCCATCTAAAGAGAACAGGTTCCCTAAAAGCCAGAAGAAACAGTAGGGATAAGTCCTGGTGCCACTGCCAGTGGCCCAGCAGTCTGCCTCAGCCATACAACTATCACCCACATTCAGAGGGACTAGTTTGGACCTAGGCTGGTTCCTTCTGTTTCCAGCTGGAGTTGGTGAGCTCCCATTAGCTCAGGTAGACTGTTTCAGTGGGTGTTTCCATCATGGTCTTGACCTCTTTGCTCATATTCTCACTCTTCCCACTCTTCATCTGGATTTTGGGAGCTCAGCCCAGTGCCCCGCTGCTGCTCTCTGCCTCTGTTTCCATCAGTTGCAAGGCCAGTTCAAGCACCCTCTCATCTTTTGCATAGGGTCTTAGCTGGGGTCATCCTTGTGGATTCCTGGGAATTTCTCTAGTGCCAGGTTTTGAAGTCTGCATGCAAATGGATGAAACTAGAAAAATCCATCCTGAGTAAGGTAACCCAGATCCAGAAAGATGAACATGGTATGTACTCACTCATAAGTGGATACTAGCTGTAAAGCAAAGGATATTGAGCCTATAGTTCATGATCCTAGAGAAGCTAAGTAACAAGGTGAACCCTAAGAGAAACATACATAGATCCACCTGGAAAGGGGAAATAGACAAGATCGCCTTACAAAATTGGGAGCATGGGGGTGAGAGGAGAAAGGAGGGTGGAAGGGAAAGAGGAAGGGGATAAAGGGAGTGGGAAGAGAACTTGAGGGAACGGGTAGTTGAGATGGAGGAAGGACAGAGATGAGAACAAGGAAAGAGATATTTTGGTTGAGGGAGCCATTATGAGGCTAGCAAAAAACCTAGGGTTCTGTTTCTGAGCATAATCTAAATAGAAAATTTGGGCTGACAATGAAAAGCAGCTCCAAAACACACAAAAGCAAAATGCCAACTATGGCCTGGATGTGGTAACTGGGGTTCTTACTCACAGTACGCAATGCTGACTCAAATGAGAAAGGTGGGAACGTTCTGTTCCTCAGGTGCAGGCAGTTGAGTGCAGGTGGTCTCTCTGTGCATTTGGTTCTTTCTGAGACTTAAGAACAAAATCTGGGCAGAAGATGTAAGTCCACTCCATAACAAGAAAAAAGGTTTTGCTGTTAGTTAATGCATATTTATTTTTACATTTAAATACATTGTTTATTTGCTTGCCAGAGTGCTCATAGTAACTACTGTCTTTATAACCAGAAGAGAACAATCTTACCGATATCAGTTTTATTATTGATAACCATACAACTATCTTTGATTTCGTTGTTGGGATTTGTCTTTTAGGGCCTTATCCTATTGATGATTTAAGTATTATCCCAATTTCTAAGCAGTCAAAGGAGCAAAATGATATATGTTTGTCTTTGGCTTCATGTAAATTAAAGATTTGTCAATTTTTACTTCTGTTTGTATACATATATAGCTATGAATGAACCAAATATTGCACTTTTACAAGATAGAAAGCTCCTTACAGGTATAAAGAAAGAAATATTAGACCTGGACTCCACTCAAAAACAATGCTTTATTTATGGCTAGATGTCCTTTATTTATGGCTAGAAACCAAATATGAGTGAGTACATTCTGTGTTCCTCTTTTTGGGTCTGGCTTACCTCACTCAGGATAGTGTTTTCTATTTCCATCCATTTGCATGCAAAATTCAAGAAGTCATTGTTTTTTACTGCTGAGTAGTACTCTAATATGTATATATTCCATACTTTCTTCATCCATTCTTCCATTGAAGGGCACCTAGGTTGTTTCCAGGTTCTCGCTATTACAAACAATGCTGCTATGAACATAGTTGAGCATATACTTTTGTTGTATATACCTCTCTTGGGTCTATTCCCAAGTGGTATTGCTGGGTCCAGGGGTAGGTTGATCCCGAATTCCTGAGAAACCACCACACTGCTTTCCAAAGTGGTTGCACAAGTTTGCATTCCCACCAGCAATGGATGAGTGTACCCCTGTCTCCACATCCTCTCCAGCAAAGGCTATCATTGGTGTTTTTTATTTTAGCCATTCTGACAGGTGTAAGATGGTATCTTAAAGTTGTCTTGATTTGCATTTCCCTGATCGCTAAGGAAGCTGAGCATGATCTTAAGTACACAGGACATACTGAGGTCTAGAAATTGTGCAGTAGGTCCCCCAAGAAACTAGGGATCACCATTCATCACCACGGTCTTCCTTCCTTTCTGCAGCATGATGGTATAAGGAATTCAGGAACATAGGTTCTCACTCCAACTCTTAGGTTCTCACTCCAACTCTTCTGGGGGTTACCAGTGGCTATGATGTCATCGGGCTGGGACTCTTCTGTTTTCCTGTGGAAAAAAAGCACAAACATGCCTGGACCCCATATTAATATAGGACCAGGTCCTTTCCAACATAGACCAAGAGTACATCTCCCCTTGTTTATCTTTTAGAGTTGTGTTTTATTCCCACTGAGGGGCCTAAGATCCCCTGTGAACAACAATAATTAGGACTATAGCCATGGACATTTCATTAAAGTTTGTAAACTATCTTTTTAATACAAACTGCAAGTCTCACTAGCTGACAGATTTTTACAGACACCTGGCTTGAAGAGCATTTGTATTTCAACAGACACTTGGCTGCCTGAAGCTACTTCTCAGCTTGGCTGTTAGGCTGGGAACCAGGGATCTTAGCTTGCAACTGAAGCTGGGAGCAGGGCGGGGCTCTGCTGAGCTCTCTGCTCCTTGGCCATCTACCCCTATAGGATTGTTGGATTTGCAGGCCATGCTGCCTCTAGCCATTTCCTGGCAACTGGCTGTGGGTGTCAGCTGTTGGAGGCTAAGCCCTCCAAACTTTTCTGTCTTCTGCCTTTCCAGTCTGGGTGGCACCTCGCGGGCCAGACTCAGATGGCTATAGTGTGTGCACGTGGGCAACCACAGTTTTGACGGCATTGGCCATGTCAGGCCGTGCACCCCATGCTCCCTTCACTCTCCCTGCTCAGCAATGGCAGTGGCAGTGTCTCCGAGGCCACAGCATCCACAGGTCAGCTTGACCTCTCTGAGTCCCTGAGCAGTCTGGTGGTGGTGGTGGCTAAGCTGCCAGCAGGGGGGAGGGAACAGAATATTTACACTGTCTACAAACTCTAAAAATTTCTGCATTTGTTTCTGCTCCACCCCAGCTCCTCTGGCTATCAAAATATACCCAAGAAAATGTATAGACAGTTGTCTGTTCTTTCCTTGTACCTTTTCTATAAATGTCTTGTTTACAAATCCTTTACACTATCTTTCCATATTAACTATCTGTATCTTTTCGAGCACTCACTTTTGGCTTTTACACCTGTAGGGTCTTATTCACCTGTGGTGCCCATCACACGCCCTTCTGTTCCACTGGCCACATGTCTGGGTGCCATCTGTCATGCATTCTACTTTGAGGGGTGTCTGTTGGTGCCCGACATCCATGTGCCATCTGTCTTAGCCACACATTGGGCTCAGAGATGTGAGTCCTGTTCCACCTTGACTAAAGGTCAGAGTTGGAGCTTTTTTTTATCCTTTCAAAGTTGTTGACAACAAGTATGGCTACAAACAAGGTATGCTGACCTAGTGTGTCGTTACTTGGTGTTTGGACATTAAGATGGCCCACAGAGGTGGAGCCGCTCCACCCTGACCAAAGGTCAGAGAATTCAAGCCTATTCCTGTCCCTTCATTTTAAAACAGGAGGTTTGACCCAGGGAGTGACTTTCTACAGGTACTTGATCTAAGGTGTATTTGCTGCACATCCTGCCCAAAACGTCAGAATGCTAAACTCGGGCAATAGTGCCTGATGTCTCAGTATTGAAGCAAGTAACTGTTCTGGTTATCCTTTGTGTCATGTTAAAGCAGTCTTTTGCCTTCTTCCCCCCTTTTTGGATTGGGGTATATATGTGCATGGAAAATAAATGTGGGCAGATTCAGTATTCAGTATTCACCGAGTTGCCCTCCTGGTACTATCCTATGTCTTTGTATTTCTTTTGTATCTCTGTGTGTCCTATCTAATTGTTCTAACCCACATGCCCCTACACTGGACATATGAACTCATCGAGGCTGGACCCTGACAGCAGATTTATTTACACGTTTGTTCTTAGTTTCACCATTGAGATCACCAAGATCACCTGTGTATTATCAACAGCTTTATTATTAAGTTCACGTTTTATCTTGGGGGCAGATGAATTTAAGACAGTGCTAAGACAGTCCTCACCCTGAGTGTGTGTTAGATACAGAAGCAAACACAGAGTTGCCCTTCTTTCCCTTTATCACTGTATCAGAAGCTCCATGCAGTTAAATTGAATGTTGTTTTAAAATTAGGGGCTCTAAAGCATAGTTATTTTGTTCCCTCTTAAAGTTTATTTTGGGTGTTAGTAAGATGGCTGAGTGGATAAAGGTGCTTGCTACCCTGAGTTCAACCCTGGGGACCCACACAGTGGAGAGAACCCACTCTTTTCACTTGTCTTCTGACCACCATGGGCTCAATGTGGCACATACACCGCCCCCACCACACACAATAAATGAAAATGTAATAATTTTGTAAACCTTATGTTTGAAATAATTTAAAACTTAATTGAAATAACCTCATATTTTCTGCATGCATTTGAACATAAAGTGTACAGTCTACCTGTACAGTACCGCCTGTCTACCACACAAAGGTTCATGAGTCAGGCAAGGGGCTGGAGATTGACAGAGAGAGAGGGGGAGGGGTGG